CCCCCCCCCCCCCCCCCGCCGCTTCCCCGATTCTCTCGGGTATACCCTGTTGTGTCGTATTCCCTACTTCTGACTCTCTCTGCCGAAAACAAAAAAAGAGCTAGACCCAATGGGGTTGTTAATGACTCCATGGGTGGCGGATCCGCTGCATTCATGTGCTATTGGTAATAAACGCACTGCGGGCTAGCTAGGCGTCATTCGAAATCACGCGTCGGCATGCGGCATATGAAGCCGGTCGCCCCGGTGGTCTTGTTTGTATCCTCGAAACCTTCTCGAGGTCAGGTCAGGGGTTTGAGTCCCGGCGTAAGCTGGCTTTTCTTGCAAAGTGAATTTTTCTCTCGCTTCAGCTCCTGCCTTATGAATAGCGCTAGTTCGTGTGGACACAGAGGGAAGAGCGTAAAGAACTCTTCTCGCATGAAAAACCGAAGGCAAAGTACCGCAGGAGGCGAGGGTATAGAGAGTTGCTCTTCTGTGTGACCATGGGCTGGAGAAAACGGAACTAGTGCTGTGAGCGCTGATTTGAAGTGAAGACAAAAGGAAAAAAAGGATATAGTCTAGTCTATACTCTCCCTTCTTCCCCTCGCTCCTCGACAAGCTTTTGCTTAGACATGGGTTGTAGCGAAGGGGGGGGTCTTTCTGGCGAGCAGGGCTAGACTCACCCTCAAGGGATGACCGAAACCTTCTTGCTGCTGCGCATCCGCCGCGAGGCGTGCGTGTGGTGGTGGAGTTGGGTCGGCACTGATGGGGTCAGGCGGGAAAATGTAGATGCGCGGGCCTTTCTGGCCGTCGGCGTTGGCAGTGATGCCCATCTCATTTTTGTGCGCGGAGGCAGACATCATCAGAAAGGTGGACGGGCACTACACGGCCCTAGGTTTGCTAGAGGGAGCTGTATTGCCTCAGTAACCTGGCTTCGCCATCAAAGGAGGAGGGAGCAGGTGGCGACGAGCTGAACTAGGCTGGTTGACCATTCGGCGCGAGAATTTTTATTTTTTTCAGACCAAGAACCTTGAGTGCAATGAGGGAGAAAGCGAGGAACGGATTGGGAACGACAGCAACGAGAGCGTGTACGGAGGGAGCAGGTCGAGTGACGCTCGGGCTGACTACAGCGGCGCCGGATGGAGCAATGGCACCGGAGCATGCGGGCGACATCGACCCGTGGCGCACGGACAAAAATTTCTATCTGTGTTGTCAATTTCTTTCGTTTTTTTTCTGGNCATGGTGTTTTTGTACAGACAGCACTTCAGACATCAGTATGCTGTAGTCGGCAATCTTCCGTTTTGGTATAGAGTGGGACAGGCAGGGGGTGATGCTACTGTAGTCGAACGGTGGGACGGACGCGCAGTTCAGTTTTTGGGCACGCATACGGTGCTGCAGGGATGTTTAGGTGTACCTCTTCGGGCTCTTGAATACCTTTTTCTCGTTATATGTGTGCGTGTTTTTTAGATCTTCAGATGGCTCTAGCACTTTCGTGACCACGGGCTGAGAGTCTTTTGCTAGATTTTGGCATTTGGCAACTGACATACGGTTTAATGTGAAGACAATATCCTTTATATATATATTTTACCTGAGCGAAACAGACTGACCGGCTGATTGAATTATTCCGCCGGCCAGTGATTGATTTCGATGAAACTCTGGTTTCGATGCAACACCACGAAGACCGTCAGCCACCGCGTGGACACATCCGACAGAGTGCAATTTTTCTCTCCAATTAAATCCTGGTCTCTGTTGGAAGCGACGCGCTGCAAAGCTCGTTGTTAGTAAACTTGACCGAATTCATAAGTCTCCAGTTAAGGGATTGCTGTACCCCTCTCGCGATGAAAATATCTCAGGCAGGAACCGCAGGAGGGGGTCCAACACCCCCCTCCTATGTGACCCCGGTTGGGTCGTCTAGCTGGTAGAAGTGGAGGATGGGGGCCAGAGGAGCAGACGACAGAGTCCAACGATGGGAGAAAAACAAACAATAAATAAAAACATGAATGTATGTGAGATCAACGCCTACCTTGGGAACTCTGCCTCAAAAGTTAGTTGTTGGATACGCACACAAGTGTAAATTGATGTTTTCTCGACGTTAATAACCGATTTGATTTCTCCACCCACTGCTCTTCTCCCTTCTTCCCCTCGCTCCTCGACAAGCTTTTGCTTAGACATGGGTTGTAGTGAAGGGGGGGGTCTTTCTGGCGAGCAGGGCTAGACTCACCCTCAAGGGATGACCGAAACCTTCTTGCTGCTGCGCATA